GAAAACTATAAACCAATATTTCTCATCAAGTCAGATGCAAAATTCCTCACCAAAAGTATTAGCAAACCGAATCCCACAATGCATAAAAAAGAATTATACGCCATTACCAAATGTGGCTAATTTCAAGAATGCAAGTCTGGTTCAACATTTGAAACTAACAGACATAATCCACTAGTCAAGAGATTAAAGAAAGAAAAATGAAATGATCACATCAGCTGATGGAGAAAAAAAAGCATTTAACAAAATGTAACATTCATTCCTGATAAACTCAGAAAACTATGAAGAAAATTTCATAAGCTTGATAAAGGGCATCTTTGAAACAAGTACAATTAACATCATACCTAATTGTGAACAACTGAATACTAATTCTCTAAGACTGGGAAAAGGCAAACATGTCCTCTCTCACAACTCTTTATCAACATAGTCCTGGATGTTCTGGCTATTGTATTAAGGCAAAGAAAACAAATAAGGCATACAGATTGGAAAAGGAAAAATAAAATTGCCCTCATTTGCAGATGGCATGATTGGCTATGTAGAAAATCCCGATAAACTTACCAAAAAACAAAAACAAAAGTAAACAATCAACAATTACAAAATCTTTCCTGTAACTAAGGAGTTCAGTTAGGATACAAAATCAACACACACACAAAAAATCACATTTCTTTTTTTAAAATCTAATTTAATTTTACTTTAAGTTCCAGGATACACGTGCAGAATATGCAGGTTTATTACATGTGCCATGGTGGTTTGCTGCACCTATCAACTCATTATCTAGGTTTGAAACCCCACATGCATTAGATATTTGTCCTCATGCTCTCCCTCCCCTTGCCACCCACCTCCTAGCAGGCCCCAGTGTGTGTTGTTCCCCTCCCTGTGTCCCTGTGTTCTCATTGTTCAACTCCCACTTATGAGTGAGAACATACAGTGTTTGGTTTTCTGTTCCTGTGTTTGCTGAGGATTTGGCTTCTAGCTTCATCCATGTCCCTGCAAAGGACATGATCTCACCTCTTTTTTATGGCTGCATAGTATTCCATGGTGTATATGTACCACATTTTCTTTATCCAGTCTATCACTGATGGGCATTTGTGTTGGTTCAATGTCTTTGCTATTGTGAATAGTGCTGCAATAAACATACGAGTGCATGTGAACTAACTGCATTTCTGAGAAGAAACAAACATTTAGAACAGAAGAACCAAATACATGGAAACCCAAATCAAAATCCAATGCCATGTACATTTGCACCACAGAAATTGAAATATTTAGGTATTTTCTTAACAAAACATACAATCCATATGCTGAAAAGTACAAAATGCTGATAAAAGAAATCAAAGAAGACCTAAATAAATGTAAAAACACACCATGTGCATACACTGGAAGACTCAGTATAACAAAGCACTCAATTCTCCCCAAACTGATATATAGATTTAACACAATTTCTATCAAAATCTCAAAGAGGTTTTTTGTAGGCATAGATAAGCTTATTCTAAAATTTATATAAAGAGATGCAGGTACTAAAATAGCTCAAACAATCTTGAAATGAAATAGTAAAGCTGAAGGAGTCACTCTACCCTACTATATAACTACAATGATAAGGACCTGTACACAGATGTTCATAGCAGCTTTATTCATAGTAGACAAATAGTAAATAGGACCCACATGTCCTTCAATCAGTCAATAATTAAACAAATTATGCTACATACCTACTATAAATCATATTTAGTAATAAAAATAAACAAACTTGATACATACAGCAACTTGAATTAATTTCAAGGACATACTGAGTGAAAAAGCTAATTCCAAATGTTTATATAATGTATGGTTTCATTCATATAAGTTTGAAATTATAGATATGAAAAACAGATTAGAGGTTTCCAGAGGTTAGGGACTAAGGTGGGAAGAATGGAAAGGAAGTAGGAAGGAAGTAGATATGGCTATAAAAGGCAATGTGAAATATCCTAATTGAGATAGAACTATTCTGTGTATTGCCTAAGGTGGTATACACAAGCTACATGTAATAAAATTGTATAGAATTAAATGTAAACACACAGACAGAAAAAAGTAAAAGTAAACCTGGGGAGATTTAAATAAGATAAGGGGATTGTATCAATGCCAATGTCATACTTGAGATATTGTACTATAGTATTGCAAGATGTTAGCATTGGGAGAAACTCAGTAAAGTGTACTTGGAATCTGTATTAATTCCACAACCACATGTGAATTACAATTATCTCAACAAAAACTTACATTAAAAAATCCTGCAAATCTTTTTTTTCAAGAATAACACCTTACTCTATCATCTTGAGGATCATAATAGCTTATTTGTTGACTGCAAATGGGCTTGCATGAGGCCTCAAAGTCCACTGGCTCAAGCTAAGCTGAAACTGGTATGCTTTTTGATGTTTCTGATCTTCAGAGTCACTGATCACACTAGGACATTCCAACATTTCCCAGAGGAGTGATCTGGTCTTCTGTGAGCTCCCTGGCACTATCAATGTGCAAGCAGATTGCTTGACCACTTCATGAGTGAGGTAGACAAGACTGGGGAGGGTACTAAATAGATACCAGATTGAAAGAAAGATGAAGGAGCTGGGGCTGTTTTCCCTGAAACAAGGTGACATGGAGGATATAATACCTGGGTTCAGATCCCTAGAGGGCTGTTTTGGGGGCAGAAAAAGTGAGAGCTGAGTTTTTGACAAAGTTCCCAGTGCTGGACACATTAAACTAATGGTGATGCTTTAGGGTGAGGAGAGTGGGAGGTTGTGGGCATTTTCTTCAGGCTGAGCCTGGTGGGTTGCTGGACTGGGAAGGTCTTTATAAATGACCAAGCCCTTCTTAAGCTTTAGAAAAGCTGAATGAGAACACATTCTGTTATGGAGGCTTCTCCTTCCCACCCTCCTCCTCACTCTGAGCAGTGGGGGAAGGAGAGGGGCAATGAGTTGGAGGATATGCAGAGAGGCTCAGTTCAGAAGAGAAAAAAAAAATGTGTGCTAGGCTGAGGCTGGGCCTTCTCAGTGCTTCCTGGTGGAGGTGTGGGAACACCCACAGCTCAGGGGCCTCACCCTGTCTCCCATTTGAGTGGCAGGGAGGGATATAAGAAGACAGGCTGGGAGCAGGAACCCTAGCCTCGCCAGGCACCTGTCTATCTGTCAGTCAGTCCTTCCAGGACTTCCCCGCAGGCGAGCCCCTCCTCTTACTGAAATCGCTCCCAGAATGGCACTGGTAAGATAACACGGCCTGGGAAGAGGGGGTGGAGGGTAGCCTAAAATTAGCCCCTTGGACCAAGACTAAGGGCTGACTCCTAGTCTTTCAGCGGCATTATTAACAGTGGGAACCGAGAGCCCCAGCTGCTCCAGGCTGGGGCCGTAGAGGCTCCCTAAGGAGGGGACACCAAGGCCCCAGTGTTTCACAGACGGGTGGGGGCAGCGACCCCGGGCAGCACGGCCTCAGGCTGAAGCCCGGTGAGTACCTGGAGCCTAGGACTGGTTTGAGAACAGTGACCACTGCGGGCCGCAGACCTGTGATCACCCACTACCCGTTGTAGGCTGTTTCCGCTGGGTCTGGGACGTGGTGGGAGTTGGGGGAGGCGCTTGGGAGGTCGTTAGGGTAACCCACCGGGAGGAGAGAGGAGGGATATAATGTCAGCTCCCTGCCTTGTGTGTCCCAAGAGGATATGTCTGCCTAGGACCTCGAGTCTAAACAGACCTGCTTCTTGAGAGCAATTGAGATTATACACTACAGGAAGTGTGGAGATTTGTCTTTGTGTCCCTGTGTGGTGGTGTTGGCTAGTCTGTGTGTATGGGTGCCTTGGAATGGGTTTAAGGGCATAAGGGCAGAACTCCTAAGGGTGGGAGAAGGAAGATAAGGCTTAAAAACGTTCTACTAATGCCTGAAGGAGTGCTCTAGGGTGCACAGAAACCAATCACTTTCCTGTAGGAGTACTTAACCTGTATTCACAGACACCAAGAGGACCTTAGATAGAATTCAAGGGGTCCAGAAACTTGGATGAGTAGACAATTACCTATTTTTCCCCTAACCTCTAACTAAAATTTACTATTTCCTTCAAGCATGAATGCAGGTAGCAAATGGCAGTAGCATAACCAGTTCCTGTAACTTGGTTACCAGAAGAAACCACAGATATTTTATATCATATTACAGTTGTGGCAGATATCTTGAAATGTCATTTATTACCACTTAGAAATTATTACTAGACCTTTTAATTTAATGTGTTACTAAAGAACATCTCTTACTATATCATACATTTAATAATATTTTGACAGTCACATTTTATTATAATTGGTTTCCTTTAATTTTATGTGTTTTATGTAGTAAAAACCATTCTGAAAGGCGTTTACAGACTTCACTAGTTTGTCACAGGAACCAGTATCACAAACAAAGGTTTAAAATTCCTACATCTTTAGGATCAGGAAGGAGCTCCGTGCACATAAGAGGCACATAATAACTATTTGATTAATAAACTACAGCAAAGTGAGGTTAGACAACAGGCTAGCTGGATTTTCTTGTCCTTATCTAACGGAGGCACAGTTCACTCCAGTGCCAAAGCCAGCTGGAGAGCATGGCTTGGTCTCCCTCTGGAGGCTCATTATATGAGCTCTGCTGTGGGCTCTTGGTATGACCTTTGCAAGAGCTTCAGCATTTTCCTCTGCCACTCCCTGCCACATTATCTCCCCAGACCCTAGTCCCCAAAATAAAATACTAAGGAGGGAATTCCTACCAGTTTTCAGAATAAATTATTTGTAAAAGAACCTTCCATTACTGAAGACCCTGGAATTCATCATGACACTGAAAAGCTGAAGATCCTGGGAGCTGCAATGTGACTCTGCTGGAGTCAAGGGAGGGGGTTATGTGTTTGTGTTTCATCTTGTAACAGAAAGAATAGGAGGAGGAGTAGAGAAGCCTGGATTCTGTTTCTGACTCTGCTCTTGCCTTGATGTAAGGCATATGGCAAACCCCTTACCCTCTCTGGACTCAGTTTCCTCCATCCAAAAAATGGGGATAATATTACCTATTTTGTTACATGAAATTGCTTTGAAAAGTACAGGATTATAAGTGTGTTCTGAGTTCTTGTTCATGAGACAACTAGCAATAACAACCATGTGACCTTACTAAAGTCCCTGCTCTGCTCTGAACCTTGGTTTCCCCATCTCTAAATTGAAAAAATTAAATTAAGTTATCTACAACGTCCATTGCAGCTCTGAGGTTCTAGAACATTAAGTAGGGAGCAATAGCCATAGAAAATGGAGACATAAGTAATAATCATCCTCATAGTAAAAATAGTTACCGAGAACTACTTTCAGGCACTATTCTAAGCACTTACTATGTACTAATTCATTTAATCCTAACAACCTTCCAAGGCAGGTACTATTGTTATTTTGTCTTTACAGATTAAGAAATGGGCACAGAGAGATTAAGTGACCTGCCCTAAGTCACACAGCTACTAAATGCTAGAGCTGGGGTAGAAGCAGAACTCCCATGTTTTGCCACTACCACATACGGCCTCTTTATCTGCACTGGGGGCAAACAAAGACCCATATAGGAGTTACAATTCTCTGGAGGAATTAACTTGGCAGAAGGAGTTGCTTGTGGCAGAAAGAAACATGGTGTATATGGAGAGCCATCATTTCTTGTCTCTTGTCACTGGATCTCAAGGTATAAGTCAAGGAGTAGTAGGAAGTGAGGCTGGAGAGATTGGCCAAGATTTGTTCATGAAGGACCTCTGAGCTGGGCTAAAGTATCTGGGCTGTAGCTGGAAAGAAAGGGGAGCCATTAAAGTATTTAAAACAGATGATTGGCAGAGATCAGATATGTATTTTAAAATTACCACTTTATCAACAATGTTGAGAAAATAATGAAAAGAGAAACTACCTATGAGACCACTATAACTGCTGAGGCAAAAGGCAGTGGGGGCCTAGATAAAGCATGGTCAATGAGAATGGTCCCTGAAGAGGACAGATGGTCTGGAGAGGTCTTTAGTAGGTAAAATCCACAGGACTTAATGGGATTTGATGAGAGTGAGATAAAGATACAAGAGGATTGACAGGAGTCTTGGTTTTTGGTTTGGTTGACCAGGTAGATGGTGAGGAAATGATATATGGATCAAGTTTCATCATGGTGGTAGTGGTGGTGCTGTGATACTGCTGTCTTTGAAGTGCTTGAAGAAACTTAGTAGATACATGCCTGGAGCTAAAGAGAGAGCTGGGGGCTTGGACAGAGAGGTTTAAAATAATCAGAATAAAGGTGAGCGTGACTGGAGAGAAGAGGATGGAGAAGAGAACATAAATATTTCAGGGGAGAATGAGAAAGAAAAATCAGGAGAGTGTGCTGGCAAGGAAGCTGATGGAGGAGTTTGTAGGGAGGAGTGGTCTGTAGGGATAGATATTCCAGAAAAGTCAGGGAAGAAAAGATCTTCAAGACATCCACTGGATTTAACCACAAAGATGACCTTTTGAAGAGCTTTCTTGGTGTGTGTTTGAGGGTGGGTGAAGCCAGACTACAGAGATTGGATAAGTGAATGGAAGGTGGTGAAGTACATAGTAGAAAACTCTTTGGATATGTTTGGTTAAGAAGGGAGAGATGAAGAGAAAGATAGCTAGAGTGAGACAAAGGACCATAGAAGTTTATTGTTTGGTCTCCTAAGATGGTTGAGGGGGAGGAGCCAGTGTGAGGAGGCTGAAGGTACAGAGTATGTAGTAGCCCTCTTACTCCTAACAACTTCATGAGAAAGGGACTTTCATTTCTGTCTTATAGATGAGGAAACTGAGTCCCAAAGAAGGGAAGAGACTTACCCAAGATTACTCAGCTAGGAACTGAGAGTGCTGAGCTGCAAATCTGGGTCTGCTGGATTTCTAAACTCCTGTCCTTCCCATTGCACCCCAAGAATAAATAAATAATAAGACCATATATGGAGCTGATGCTGGTGGGTGGGGAGGGGCCTAAAGTTTAGGGTGACCCTACCCACCTACCTCATAATTTTCTTTCTATGAGGTAGGTACCTGAGGTCCCAGACTAACAAAGAGGGGTGGGGGTAGATAGTGAATAAAAGGAGGTATGAGGCCCTGAGACCTCAGCTGCAGGGTATGGGAGAGTAGGGAAACTTAAGCTCTGAGAAACCTGCCAGCTCACCCTGATGACATTACAACTGAGGTGGGTGACCTTGACACTGAAGCACTAGGAATAGGACTGGTAAGGTCAGAGGTTAGATTGAGTCAGACATTGAGCCATGAGTGGTTTTGTAGGGCCTGAGGATTGTGGGAAGAGAAGAGTTGAAGGTTGAGTCAAAGGCTCTAGGCTGGGTCAGACAGAGAGGATGGAAAAAGGGTTAAACTAGAGGAATGGGGAGGCAGCGTTGGCAATCAAAGGGACTCCTGGATTAAATTGGCCCTGGGGGAGAATCTAGTTGTAATCAGAGAGGAAATTTGCCCTGGGAACCTCGACTGTTTCCTGCCATCTGTCTTCATTTTACTTGAAATATGTTCTTTGTAACGTCACCTCTTCATTTAATCAGTAAATATCATTCGATACCAATTTCCTGAATACTTCTATTCCTGAAATGTGGGGCCTTCATCTGAGGGAAGGTTACAGAACACTCGGGTGAGGGAGCTTTAGTCATATATGAGGGGCTGTGAAGAGTTAAACTATCTGAAAATGGAGTTAAGGGCTTGCTCCAAAAGACTGATGTCAGAAAGCTCAGGGATGACAGCTTGACACCACAAAGTATGGTTCTATTGGCCTAGCCAGTGCCAGGCCAGAGCCACCTTACTAATCCACACATTCTGATCTGAAAAAAATGCATCTACCAAATTTCCAGCCATGATATAGCCCTACTAGGGGTAGAGGAATACAAGATGAATACAGGGTCCTTGCCCTGGAGTTTATACACTAATGGAATATAGATAAGCGGAAATGTGGTTTGAAAGTTCATAGCTGAAGTTTAGTTGTGATCCTTCAGAATCCCTGAGCAGGAAGAAGAGATTAGGGAAGGCTTCCTAGAAGTAGGAGTTTGAGGGGCAGGCAGAAGAGTATATGCAAAGGCATCAAACTATAAAATGCCCTGACCTGTTTTGGCAGTGTCTTTGGGGCCTGAAATAAGACAGTGGGATTGGGAGTGAGAAGTAGGAGACCCATGAATGAGTAGCCTGATGGTGAAGGGCAGGGGGCAAGGGGTTGAAATGGAGGCAGATTTCAAGGAGGGTGTGTGGTCAGGCTTTTGATGGGTACCCTCATTCTCTCCCGCTTGTTTGTCACCCACAGATCTGGCATTTCCTTGTGCTCATAATGAGAATAGTTCTCCAGTTAGCCAAGATGAACCTCATGGACATCACCAAGATCTTCTCCCTCCTGCAGCCCGACAAGGAGGAGGAGGACACCGACACGGAGGAGAAGCAGGCTCTCAATCAAGCAGTGTATGACAACGACTCCTATACCTTGGACCAGCTTTTGCGCCAGGAGCGTTACAAACGTTTCATCAACAGCAGGAGTGGCTGGGGCGTTCCTGGGACACCCTTGCGCTTGGCTGCTTCTTATGGCCACTTGAGCTGTTTGCAGGTCCTCTTAGCACATGGCGCTGATGTTGACAGCTTGGATGTCAAGGCGCAGACGCCACTTTTCACTGCTGTCAGTCATGGCCATCTGGACTGTGTACGTGTGCTTTTGGAAGCTGGTGCCTGCCCTGGTGGTAGCATCTACAACAACTGTTCTCCCGTGCTCACAGCTGCCCGTGATGGTGCTGTTGCTATCCTGCAGGAGCTCCTAGGCCATGGTGCAGAGGCCAACGTCAAAGCTAAACTACCAGTCTGGGCATCAAACATAGCTTCATGTTCTGGCCCCCTCTATTTGGCCGCAGTCTACGGGCACCTTGACTGTTTCCGCCTGCTTTTGCTCCACGGGGCAGACCCTGACTACAACTGCACTGACCAGGGCCTATTGGCTCGTGTCCCACGACCCCGCACCCTCCTTGAAATCTGCCTACACCATAATTGTGAGCCAGAGTACATCCAGCTGTTAATAGATTTTGGTGCTAATATCTACCTTCCATCTCTATCCCTTGACCTGACCTCACAAGATGATAAAGGCATTGCATTGCTGCTACAGGCCCGAGGTGAGTGGTGAACAGGCCAGCCTTGGGTCACGAGGCTTGGAGATCTCAGGGCCCCAAATCACTGTAAAAGCCAATCCTCTGAGATGCAATGGAGAAAACTCCATTTTCCTCCCTCTCCCGTGGCCCCAGTAGAGAAGAGGTTATGTATTCCATGTTAGAGAAAGGTCACTAAGATAAGGTTGGGTGGGGGTGGGGAGCACTAGCCCAATTTCTGGTTCTGGCTCTGCCAATGACTATTTCTTGGAAAGGATAGAGCATTAGGGCTGTAGTAGCCAGGGGAGGGTGGATGTAGGCTTGTGTGGGAGAATTATGCTGATAATTGCTCCTCATGACCTGTTTCTTCTTGCTGTAGCCACTCCACGGTCACTTCTATCACAGGCCCGTTTAGTCATCCGCAGAGCCCTGTGCCAGGCTGGCCAGCCACAAGCCATCAACCAGCTGGATATTCCTCCCATGTTGATTAGCTATCTAAAACACCAACTGTAATCTTGCAGTCTCCCCAGGAACTTATGATGCCTCCAAAAACCACCTGGAGACTCAGGTAGCTGGAGGGCATTACAGCCTCATCCACTTACCTGGAGTTGCTCTCCTGTATTATCCTCCACAATAAAATTATCCAGAAAATAAGTCCCAGTGTCTGTTGTGTCTGGTGTGTGTGGGCATGGATGGGGGCATGGGTGTTATTGAGGGAAGGGGTATGATTGGCCGTGGGGAAGGATAGCAAATGGTCTGGTATCTGACAGGCACAGGAGTCTGTAAGAGCAAAAGAGGAAAATAACCCAATGGCCTTTACCTCCACACCAAGATCCTTTAGAGAGTTTTGGGAGCTGTGTTGCCCTGGAAGCAAGGTCCTGAATAATACAAGTGGGTAGAAGCGTAGCATCAGCTTGCCCAGCCCTGTGCCTCCCTTCAATTCTCTGGCTACTGCAAGACACCTTTTCATTGGCTGTCCCCTAGTCTCATATTACTTTGAGTCAAGTGACTGAGGAGCCTCCCATTCACTCACCTTGAATCATAGGCTGCATTTCTGCTAGTCCAGTTTATGTTCAAGATCTACCTGGGTAAGCAAACTATCAAATATTTATGACAGAGTATCTAATGTGAAAAACAATTTGGTTACATAGGTGATAGGCTGGGAATTCAAGTAAGACAAGCAGATAACCTAGAGATTAGCAAGTGCAGGAAGCCAGCGTAACTTCTAGGCTTCAGGGGTAAGGGAGGAGGGACAGGGGTCATCTGATTGAAAGTGAAATCACAGGCCTGCCCATGATTTGGGTGGTGAAGAATGGAGGGACCATGGGAGGAGGTAGTATGACCTAAACCAGGAGCTGGAATCACACAGCAGAATTGGAAGTATGCTGATAGCAGGAACCACAGAGCAGACACAGCAGGGGCACCACCCAAGGCAGAGAAGGCAGAGGCTAAGTACCCTGGCTTCTCCATTTTTCCTGCCTTCCCACCAGTGCCTTCTATTGGTTAAACCCAACCAGAAGGTAGTTGACTTGGGAGCCTGGGAAACACAGCCTGTAGGGGTCAGACCCCCTATAATGTGGAGAACAGGGGAAGGAGGCAAACAGACCCTGGACCAGCGAGGATATCCACTTAAATCCAGGGAAATTCATTTTACTAAATTTTAATCCCTCCACAGGACCTTCTTGTATTTCTCTTGTACAACTGTGGGTGAGAACATGGGTGAGCAGTGAAAGGGACACAAGATTAAGGGGTAGAGGAGGAGAGCCCAGATAATCTGTACCCAGGAAGCACTTTACATATTTAGAGCCCCTCCTGGGAGCTGCTTTGATGGTCTCCTACATCATGCTCCCCTATCACTGGAAAAGGGAGACAGAGCACGGAGTCTTAATCTGATTTGCCCCCTACTTCTCTCACCTCCCCCATTCTCCCTAGCTACTGCTGCCTGAGAGACTTTAGGAAAGAAGGTGAGAAAATTGGATATCTATCTCCATGCTCCCACCCCACCCAGCTTTCAGATTTTCATTCTTAGGCACTTTGGGAAACAGTGCAACTGTTTTTCTCCAAGGAGCATGAGAACTAAAGAACTCAGGGCTTCAGGGTAGGCATCCTCAGCTCTCTTCTATCTTTCTTTCAATCTGGGCTCCTAAGTGGTAGTTTGTGCAAAACCTCACCCCTAGCCCTGCCTGTGATTCTCTTAGGGCCCTTGGGGATTGAATCAACCTCAGCAGCCCTATCTGCTATAGTTCCCCAGGAAAGTACACCCTTCGAATGGGGTCTGGGCAAGGTGGCCTCCTCCATGGCATCTGGGACACAGATTCTGGTTGACTCATGAAGGCACATGGACACTTTAAGCATTTCAAAGTTCATGCGCTTGAGGAGGTTATAGGAATGTACAAAATTCTAGGTAAAGAGGAAGGGCCAAAACTCTTAGCTTCAATTTCCCAGATGAGGGAATTGAGAACCCAACTAAGGTAAGTGCCCATGTTATTATTTACGGTCCAGCTCTTCAGAACATTCCTAGCTGTTCTTTCTCCGGTTGCCTGTGCTGTTAGTGAGAAGAGACAACTTTAAGACCTGGTGCCTTAATATTTTATCCTCCCCAGGCCTCATCATTCCCATCCAGAAAATGGGCCAGGAGTTGGAATTAATCACCTCAAATTCTGATGATGACTTTTCCAAGGCAATTTTGCCTAGGAAGTATTAGGAGAAAGCAGAGATGCTATTACTGTACCTAGAGTGAAATCTTCCTCTTGGCCTTTAGTGTCTTGTCCAGGTGAAAGCTCAATTTCCTCAATCTCCCTTACCCCCAGCACAGTCACTAGCTTTCAGAAGGCCAAATCTTAACTACTTCAGGTAAGCTAGGCCCCTTATCTCCCTTTTATCTCTCCTCCTGACCTCCCTTTCCTTTCTGCCTTTCTTCCTTCCTCTCTCCCTCCTTTCTTCCCTCCTGCTATCATCTTAATGTGGTACTTCCCAAATTCATATGTTGGAACCTAATCCCTAGTGTGACAGTATTAGGTGGTGAGGCCTTTGGGAAGTGATTAAATCATGAAGGCTCCAGTTTCATGAATGGGATTAGTGACCTTATAAAAGAGGCCCCAAAGACACCCCTCACCCCTTTCACCATATGTGAGGACACAGCAAGAAGATGCTGTTAATAAACTAGAAAGTGGGCCTCACCGGACACCAAATCTGCTGGCACCTTGATCTTGGACTTTCCAGCCCCCCAAACTGAGAGAAATAAATTTCTGTTGTTTATAAATTGCCCAGTCTAAGGCATTCTGTTATAGCAGTGCAAGCAGACTAAGACACCTCCCTTTCTTCCTTCCTGACATTGCCATTATCCTAGATCTTGGTTCTGCTTTCTACATGCCACTATCAGTCTGCACTCTCTCCTGCAATGGGAAAATTATTTTGCTTTATTCAAAAAGATGGCCCCCAAGGACTAGATCTAAAGTGTAAAATGGCCCATGGGACTCCAGAAACCAGAGAGATCTCCATTCAGCTACTAACTTGACAGAAAGCCTGATGGAGAAGGGGTATTTGATATTTGCTTTGAAAAGTGGAAAAAAATTTAGTCAGCAGAGAGGAAGCAAAAGGTATTAGTGGAGGGAACTCAATGAGCAAAAGCATAGAAGTGGGAAAATGCAGGGCAGCTTGGTTTCAGTTCAGTGAATTTGAACAGGAGCTAGGTTGCGGACTAGACCGAAGAGAGCCATGAATACCTTAGTTTTTTAGAGTTGAAGGTTTCAGTTCTTAGAATGGGACACTTACAGTCGCAGGAATGACTTCGTGAGCATATGGAGAACATGTTCCCTGATTTCCCAGGACATATCTGCTAGCATTAACTAAACCACTGTCTTGTGTGCACATATCAATTTACTACTTACAAGTTATTTGCACACCTATAATTTCATTTACTTCTTAGAACAATTCTGTGAAGTAAGCAGAACAGTTTTTGTACAGATGTCGCAACTAAAGCCCAGAGAAGGGAGGGGACTTGACACAGTGAGGCAGTGGCAGAGCCAGGACTGAACCCACAAGACTCCTGATACCCAAGCCACTGTCCTTTCCCAAGATGCTGCTTTGCCTCACGTGTGAATGTTAGCACTGAGGCAGGGTGGTGCATGGAGTTTGCAAGCTCTGACTTCATTTTGCAGGCCTGGGTCCCCGCCCTCCCGCCGACAGAGCTTGGCACTAAGGAGTGATGTAGCGAGGTAGGAAAAGGTGGCAGCCCCAGTGACTGGGGATAAGCTAAAGGGGCTGGGGTAAGCCTGCAGTGAGGGGCTGGGCATATGGGAAGATCAGAGGCCTCCCTCTCCCTGCCCAGGGCTCAGAGGGGCCCCAATCCTACTTTACTGGTAATTTCCAAACTCTAAAGGGGTTTCATTTTTCCCTCAACCCTGAGGAAACCCTGTTCCTAAACAGTCAAGCCAATGACCATCTGCTTCATCCTGGTATCTTCTGAGCTCTATCCACCTATAGGCACAGAAGACATTAGCTTCCAGCTACTAGACTACTTGCCAGCTCCTACTTTGCCAGTCTCCAAGTAGGCTGCTTCTTCCCAGGAGAAAAGCAGAGGCTAGGCTAGTGGCAGAATCTGGTCCACTGATACCTCCAATGCTCTGGCTTGCAGTTCCTTCACCTCCTTGACTCTCACACCACCCCTCACTCCCCATTTTAGTATCCTTGGCCTTACCTGGAAATGCAGGTTCCCCTTTCTAGTCAGATTTGCTTGCTTTCCCAGAAGTTACATTCCTGGAACTCTATGGTTTGATTCCACAGAATCAATTCAACAGATATTTATTGAGTACCTATTCTGTGTCAGGAACTGCATTTCAGGAACCACATAACCTAATTTATCTGCATTTCCCCTTTCCCCTGTCTTCCCTTCCCTCACTGTCCATCTTTGACTCTGTCTTCAATCACTTCATTCTCCATACTAACTTTGGATCAAGCCGTTGTCCTCTCCTAAGCCTGGTCTAAGGAATACCATAGAAGAAATAGAAATGACTAATCATCATAAAAATCTAAAGAATCGATAGAAGAGTGATGGTCACCAGAGGCTGAGGGACTTTGGGGGAAAAAAAATGGGAGATTATTCATCAAAGGGTACAAAGTTTCAGATAAACAGGATGTGATGGTTAATATTGAGTGTCAACTTGATTGGATTGAAGGATGCAAAGTATCGTTCCTGGGTGTTTCTGTGAGGTTGTTGCCAAAAAAGATTATTAAAATCTGAGTCAGTGGACTGGGAGAGGCAGACCCAGCCTCACACAGTCTGGTTGGGCACAATCTAATCAGCTGCCTGCTCAGCTAGAATAAAGCAGGCAGAAGAACATGGAAAGAATAGACTGCCTGAGCCTTCCAGCCTTCATCATTCTCCTGTGCTGGATGCTTCCTGCCCTCAATCATCAAACTCCAAGTTCTTCAGCTTTTGGACTCTTGAACTTACACCAGTGGTTTGCCAGGGTCTCTCAGGCCTTCAGCCACTGACTGAAGGCTGCAATGTTGGCCTCCCTACATTTGTGGTGTTGCGACTCAGACTGGTTTTCTTTCTCCTCAGCTTCCACAAGGTCTACTGTGGGACTTCACCTTGTGATTGTGGGAGTCAATAATATTCCTTAATAAACTCCCTTTTATATATACATATATC